CCCGTCCCTCCGAGCAGGGCGGCTCCGCCGGCCCGCTCCCGCCCTCCCCTCTCCTCCGCTCCCGCCCTCCCCTCTCCTCCGCTCCCGCTCCCGCTCCTGTCACCTGCGGCAGCCCCGGGCGGGCCGGGGGAGCTCCGGGTCGGCTGTCAGCGGGCGCTGCTCTGAGACAGCAGCTCCGCAGCGGACAGGGGCTGCTCCACACGAAGCCCATGTGTTGGCTTGACTTGACGACCTGCCTTGAGGGACAATGATCGGTATTTCACTTTACCTGGTGATAGGCAACCCGAAAAGTGTGAACATGCATCCCTGTTTGAGTAAAGATACGGGCCGCGATAATAGAGGTTGCAGTCATCTATTTGTTCAGGAAGCTGCTGTAAGTGCTTTTTCTGTTTAATTAGTGGCACAAAATACACGTGCCGCCATTTCACGGGGTGTTTCAGCAGGACCTTCCCCTCCGCGGCCAGACACCACGGCGGTTTCAGAAGCTCCTGCCAGCAGGGTGAAAGCACCGACCCTGGCTACGGGGAGAGCTGGTGTGCTGCTATTTTCCCCTTATGCACGTTCTTCTTGCAGTGAGATTTAGTTAGATCTAGCTTGATCTAACTGATTTAATTCTGGTTTGCGGCACCTGGAGGATTTCAGCGTCTGGCGTGCCCAGGAGTGGGGCCGCTGTGCCCTAAGGGCGGCCCTGTTGTCACCTGCCCACGTCTGCCGCCCGCAGAGCTGGCTCGGCTCTCGCTTGTAGCACCTCTGCTTTAAATTACATCCCCACTGTGTTGTTCCCAGCCTGAGTCCATTCGCTTCCCAAATCCCATACCATCAGCCCCGGCTTCCCGCTAACAACAAATTCTTATGTTTCACTTCCTTTTCAAACTTGGATACGGTGAAACAATTTTTAGAGAAAATTTAATGTTCATAGCATTGGTGGAAAGTTTGGTCAATTACATGTCTTCTCAGTTTCATGCATTTGATACTCGGCTCCTCCTTTTTGGTGACAAAATAAGAGACTAGACTAGAGCATGCTTTTCAAGTACTATATGGTAAAATTCAGGCTTAATAAGCCTTTAATAAGGCTTACATTCAGCTCACAAGGATCAGAGTGAATTGAAGACCTTGTGAAAGATTAAAAGTTGCTTCCTCCCCTCAATAATTTTCATTCAAACGCCTCTCATCTAAATATCCTGTTTATTCAGCCCAACGCAGCATACTAAGCTGCAACTATTCAAACCCACACTAAAGTGCTGTTCAGTGCAGATTAAGAAACATCACTTATTTAGATGTGATGCGAAGCCCTTTTGACACTGCGTAGAGGAGCATATTTTTCTCATGTGTAAAATACCACTTTCCCCCCTCTCACAGCAGTCCCGAAGGAAAAGGAATCTATGACTAAAACAGTTCAGCCGGCATCAGACACGCATCAGCCGGCAGCTGTGAGTGCGCTTGACCCCTGCTGGATGGACTTGGAACTGATGGGTCAGGTGCCCGAAACAATTCCCCTTCTAATCGAGGACTTTGGACGCAAGTTTAGGAAAAAGCAGCTTCTTGATGCTCAGTGGCAGCGGTCTCCAGCACTGTGAGAAGTGACTGCTGAGAAATTATATATGTGGTGTGTGCTGTGTCTGTTAAAATACGTAGGTGAACTCTCCTGCTCAAATTTAATTTAGTGATGTGTTCTTGAAATGGATTCAGATGAAATCTGTGGGATTATGTGTGTAAGGATTGTCTCAGCTCAGACCAGTTGCCAGTTGATATCTTCATAATGAAGAAACTGAAAATATCTGAACGACCTTCAGAGCATGGAATACCTTAAGGACCCTCAGACTCATTCCTCAGTAAATGCAGATGGGAAAAGTCTTCACCCAGTATCCATCCTGTTCCCACAACAACTCTGCAGTGGTGCAGTAGATTTGAAGAATCTATGCATTTCATGTAAGCACAGAACGTATGTTTTTCAAGTGATTTGAGCTTGAACACTCTCAAGGTGGCAGCAAGAGAACAAAAATTAGTCATAAAAGGGTATACTCTACCCACCCTCCTCTTTGTGTTTCCCAGACACAGTAACAGAGCTGTTAAGTCCTCAGCACAATCAAAATATAATCAGCATGGTTTTGATTGTGGTGCAACAGAGAGCATTATGGCATCTTCAGGAAAAAGACCCAAACCAACCAAGCCTGCAGACAGTAGTATAGTAGTATTGTATAGTAGTGTTGCTATCAGAGTCAGAAAGTGGTTCACCTTTCTTCCTTCGCCCCCTCACTCAGCATGTCTATCTCTCTAGTGATTTCCCAAAGTAAAAAGGAAGTCATCCCATCTTCTTCCAATAATGAAAAAATTAGTGAGTGCTTTGGTGCGGTTACAAAATGACAGGTATTTGTCAAAGTGACAGTAACTTCCAGTGAAGCAAATCGAGCTGATAATGCTTTCCTTCCTCCAGTTTCCTCCTGTCACTCAACTGCCTTTGACACTGAGCCGCTCTCTGATGAACTAACACAAATCACAGCTAACTCTGATGTTGTTCATTTAATGGCTGTAGTGATATTTCCCAGGTGTCTTTGACCACATCATCCCTCGCTTTTCATCCTTCAGCTGGTTCCTGGGCATCAAGGTAACTTTTTCGTTTCTTTTAAAATCTTCCATGCTGTTAGGTTATGCTGTAAAAAGTTCTCCACATGCACAAAGGAAGGCAGAGAAATAATAGTGAGTGGAGGAGTGAAATACCCTGCCTGGCTACCCCCAAGTCCACCACAGGAGCTCTCAGCCCTTCAAACGTTCATCTCTTCACACATGAAGCAGTGTAGAGTCTTTAAAAAGTAAGCCTTCAAAAATATTTTAGAATTATTTAGAATTTATTTTAAAACATTTCAAAAAATGCATACCAGAAGTGCAAACTGTAAAAGGAAACAGTGTGTAGAATTTATATTACTCTATAATATGGTACTCTCTATGATAAGAAAAAGACTGTCTTCATAGTAATGATCATGAAAGGAACGGCCTCAAAGATCAAATGTGCATGACTAGGGCCTGATCATTTTCCTTCTCTTTTGCTCCCAAGCAAAGCAAATTTAAGTGCTGCTGACAGTGACCAAGGCATCTTTAAATTGACTTTCTTATGCAGCATGGCCAGAGATCTCTGCCTGTAGAACTTAAAAAAATTTTGTGCTTACTTTCATGAATATGTCTTAATTACAAAGACTGTTCTACTATGTCAAATGGGACTTGTCAAAGGAAAACAGAAATTCCCACAGGGATGGCCAAAAATTATGAACAAAGTAAGTAAATGTGAATGTTCATTATGGAGAAAAGGCGGTTATAGGGAGAGCTCATTGCAGCCTTCCAGTCCTTAGAGGGAGCTTATAAAAAAGAGGGAGAGTGACACAGGCAGATAGTTATGGGACAAGGATGAATGGTTTTAAACTAAAAGAGGAGAACTCAGGGAGACTGTGGATGCCTCTTCCATAAGTTTTCAAGGCCAGGATGGATGGGGCCCTGAGCAAATCAAACTAGTGATGACATCTCTGCTCATGGCAGGGGGTTAAAACCAATGATCTTTAAGGTCCCTTCCAACGAGCTTTTCTATGATTCTGTGTTGCCCAAGATTGCAGACGGCACCACTTTAGTGACTGATAATTTATTTCTGTGGTTGAGTATGGCTCCCAGGATTATGTGGCTCAGGCATTGATATCCTATGAAGGAAGGAAATGACCAGAGTCTATCCAAAATTTATTGCAGTGTGCTGACCAGAAGGAGAGAAGCAAAAGTAGTTCAGGCTCAGACTCCAGCCTTCCTTTCTGCTTTCTTGAGTCCTGTCCCTGCCGCTGGGCATGGCCTTTCGCACTGATGGAGCAAAGGGGTCACAGGGTACAGAGTACGGCTGTTGTTACTGCAGTGCAGGAGCCACCCAAGGCTCCATCGCCGTGCCTTGGACTGAGGAAGCTGGCTCCTGAGAAAGCAGCTCTGCGATGATGGCTGGTCAGGCTCACATTCGGTGTCGGACTGTCCCAGTACGGGACACACTGTTTTTCTTGAAGAGAGTTACAACTTAAGGAGTTCAGCCTGGCAGCGCATTTCGGCGAAACCCAGGCCATCCCACGAGCCTTTTCCCCCCGTACTTCTCGTTTCCCGGGGCAGAGGGCGCCGGCGGCCCCCGCCGCTCCGGGCCCCGTCGCGATGGCGACCGGCGGGCGGGGCGCGCGGCAGGGCCCGGCAGGGGCAGGCGCGGCGCGCGGCGCGGGCCCGGCGCCGGGGCGCGGGCACCGTGAGGGGGGACGCGGGTGTGAGTGGGAACAGGGCCGGGGGAGGTGGCGGGGAGGGGTGGCTGGGGCCGAGGCGCAGGGTAACAGTGCCAGCGGATTTGGTGCCTACAGGCAGCGATTCGAGGTGAGGGGTGGCCCAGCTTTATCCACTGAGGTGTCTGGTGGTGAAGGGGGCTGGGGGGAATAATGTAAGGGACATGGGGGAAGTGTTAGCCAGGGACGGATTGAGGGCAGAGGGAATTGTTAGCTTGCTTTGGAGATTGGGAAGGGGTTATATCGTGAGTTGCACGATTTTGTAGCGAGACTGAGGTAATCGATTTTCCGTATTCTGCACCTGGGACGGGACAACCTCGGGTGTACCGACAGACTGGGAAGCGAGAGGATGGGCAGCAACCAGCGGAAATGGACCCGGGGGTCTTGGTCGATGGCAAACTGAACATGAGCCAGCAGTGCCCTGGCAGCCAGGAGGGCCGAGCGTGTCCTGGGGGACATCAGGCACAGCGTCCATCGCCAGCCGGGCAAGGGAGAGATTGTCCCGCTCTGCTCTCAGCTGGGGCAGCCTCACCTCGGATATTCTGTGCAGTTTTGGGTGCCACAAGGAAAACATTAAGCTACTGGAGAGTGTCCAAAGAAGGGCCACAAGGATGGTGAAGGGTCCGTCCTGAGGAGTGGCTGAGGGTACTTGGTCTGTTCAGCCTGGAGGAGACTGAGGGGAGACCTCATGGCAGTCTGCAGCTTCCTCATGAGGGGAAGAGGAAGGGCTGGTACCAATCTCCTCTCTAGGAAGAAGTGAGAGGACCCCAGGGGATGGCCTGAAGCTGAGTTTAAGGCGTGTTTGGACAATGCTGTCAGGCATGTGTTGTGATTCTTAGAGTGTCCTGCATAGGGCCAGAAGTTGGACTCGATGATCATGATGGGTCCCTTCCAACTCTGTATTCTGAGGGAGTGGAGGCTTCTGGTAGTGCAGCTGCTCGATATATGGGGGTAATTATGTGAGTGCAAGTGCTAGTTTGGATGGCATTAATGCTAATTGGGCTCGTGAGAGTGGTGGTCTCTGGGAAGCGACTGTAGTTGGGTTGTGTCAGGAAACTGTCTGCTTCTTCTAAGGATGCAGTGGTACCGTAGGAGACAGTGCTGGTACTGATAAAGGGGGTCAGTCAACAGCATCACAATTTTATTTGTTTGGGAGAAGAAATAGATCTTTCCCTCTGCAAATGTTCTCCTGTGGGTTTAAAATGTACAGTCTTTAGTCCCCTTAAATATGTTCCTCTCTCTCTCATGTGTGTGTATTTTCTATGGTTTGCAAAATCCTTTATTGTAGTATGTGTTGTTTCATCTTGTACAGCTTGGAGGCTTTCTTGTTCCTCTCTACTTGGGAAGAATTTCATAAATATATCACTGGAGCTCATCTAGGTCTGTAGTTAAAAAGCAAAAAGGCCCTAAGCCTTTTCAAGATACTTCTGCTCAAAATTTTCTGTTTTGTATCCAATTTTAAGCAAGGAATTTGATTATCCATTTAGTGAAAGAGACAGAAACAATTTAAAGAAAACCTTAGGGAGTGCTCTAGTAATCTTCAGTTTCTGAGGAAAATCAGTAAATTAAATGCTCAAGTGGAAATGGAGTCAATAGCAGTCCAGTTAATTTTGCACTGAAGAAGTGTGATGGATCCTTTTTTACAATTAACAAGTGTATCCTGCACTTGTGCATTTGGTTTGGAAATTTCAAAGGGGTCTAGGAGGAGCAAAGTACCTAACTTCCTGCTTCAGTGAGATGTTTTTCTTAATTCACTTGTTCATTTGGGTTTCTTTTAAATCTCAGGTCTTACAGCAGCCATGTCTTTAGGATTTCTGAAAGTTTCATGAAAAAATATTGTACTGAATTGGAAACTGCAAAGGTTGTACATGAAATAGGATAGAAAGTTACTTTGAATACAAGAAGCTGACATTGCCTTGCTTCAGGGTATGGGGAGTGTGGTGAGAAGGCATAGGACAGTGTATGGATTACAGTGTATCTGTCAATAGTTGGTTTCACTTCATTCCCTTGATTTTACTGGCTTATGTGGCTTTTTACTGATTATTTTTTTCCTGTTTACTTGTGCTCATTTTAACAGGAAAAAATATCTAGCCTGCTGTGTTTAGTTGCAAAACAAGTTTTTATCAATATCGGCCATTATTGTAAAATTCAGAATTTAAATTCAGAGGAGCAGTTTAATAAGAAAACAGGTTATATACAATGTTTCTACTTATTCAGTAATAAAACATTCTATATTATATATGCTATTTCAGTTTGGACATTTGGTTATGTGACTGCTAAAAGTGAGGAATCTTCATAAGTGCCCTTTCTCGTGACATTTTTTATTTTGTATAATATATGCTACCAGTTCCATTGCAGAACTATTCATTGCCAGTTGAATTCTGAGGTTGGTAGTTGTGCCAGCATGCCCAGGGAATACTGCTGACATGCATATCCCTTCAGAAGGTGCTTTTGTTCCAGCTCTGACAATGAAAACTGGTATCAGAGTTGCGGTGAAAGGGAGATATTCATAGTGCTAGCAGAACAGAAGGAGAGGGAAAGAGAGGCACGTGAACAAGTGGTCTTGATAAAACAAGCCTGATAAAGAAACAAAGGACTGGAAAAGGAACAACTGCTGGTTTGATTTACAAGCATGGTAAAGACAACCTGCAGCAAGGGATGCAATAAGTAACTGGTGATAGAGACCACTGTATCTACTTGGGTATACATTACATTAATATACATATATATACATATACATACATGGGCCTGAGTGCTACCCCTGGGTAGGATTATTGCTGTCTAAAACCCAACTTTTTTTTTCTAAATTTTTTTTATTTCAGAAGTGTTACAAGCTTGTCACAAGTGAGAAATGCCATTGAACACACAATATTTTGTAAATCATTCATCTCTATACTTTTTTTCTTTCACTTCTAGCACAAGTATAAAGAAAAAAAATATAAAAAATGGAAGAGAGTAAGAAAAAGAAGAAACCAGAAGAGCAAGTTCAAGAGCCTGAATCAGATTTACCAGAAGCCTTATTAGAATATCAGTAGGTTTAATATATTTTAACTTTTCACTCATATAGAATATGTGAATGGAGGAAGCTGATAACAAAGACAACTTATACAATTTTGAGCCTGAGCTGATTGTTTTGAGGTTTTGGGGCTGTTTCAGAAAGGTACACTTTTTAAACTATAGCTGTAAGGGAGCAATTTACTGGATCAGAAATGTTATGCCATTAGACTATAACTTGGGAAAAAAATTTACTAAAACCAAAAAAAAAACTGACATTTTTTCTGTAGCAAGCTTTTGATCAGCATATTCTGAATTTGGAAGATTACATTTGACTGTATTTTTTAGGATTCGTTGGTGTTCGTGGAGGTTTGTTGTCACTAGCCAGAACCTCAAGACCTACAGTTTGCTGTCTTTCTTGGTGCAGCTGAGAGCAGAGCATAAAGTGTTTTATTTTGAAAGTAAGAGATGGACAAATTAAAGGTCTCTTAAAATCAAGCAGAGAAAAATAAGAGCCAAGGGTGAAATATCTGAAGCAGTTACAAACTAGTCTAATTGATTTGATTTCTAGTCTCTTGAGTAAATGATTAAAAGTCGAAAAAGTAAGCTTGAAGACTTTTATCTAAGAGACAGAAATTGAAAGGGAAATAACCTCAGGAACACCCAGTATCCAACAATTATCAGTGTTTAGGGAGCAAGCAGTAATGCCTTGGTGTGGAAATGAAATGTGGAGTAAGCAAACTGAATAGTATGCTCCTAGAGTTGTAGTGACATCTATATGAATTCACAGGGTTTATGTGGGATTTTCTGCTTCATTTTACAGAGCACAGAGTACAGTTTTCCATAGTGAAATAGTCTAGATTTAGCTGAATCATATCCCAAATAAATACTATCTGAAAAGTCCAAAACTAACCTATTTTGTGAAGGAATAAGGAAACTGTATTACTGGGCTGAGAAAAAAGCTGTACCATGTTCTGTACCACTTTAAAATTGTTGTTGTGCATATGCAAATATCCAAGCAAATGACTCATTTGTCTGGAGAGTCTTCCACTGAAATAGGTGCTTCACTGAAATGGAATATGTAGTTTCTACAGCAACAGTAGGGGAAAAAGGGAAGGAAAGTATTCTTACTGGTTTTGTCTTTTTCTCTTCTCTGCCCCTCTTGCTCTCCCTTTCTTTCTCTTCACCTCTGTAATCTGTAACTTCTCTGTACCACTTGATGGATCAAATATGGATAATAATACAAGTCAATAGCTGTCACATTCCACTTTAGGATTTATCAAGTGTGTAGTATTTATTTAACTTCCATTCCTGTTTTTTGTTTCCATACACTGAAGAATGGTCACAGTTCCTAGGGAGTTTATTTTGCATTTTCATTAAAGTTCTCAGTTTTAACATTTCTTAGGAACAACAATCTTATGATGTACTTTTGCTGTGGCCATGACCACTGTACCCCTGTATCTCTGATCTGGTCTGGTCTCTCTCTAGCTAATATCCTTCTGCTTATCTGAAAACCTGAAGAATACCTTGGAGCACACTGACACCAGAGGATGTAAATTTAGTAACCTGCAATCTGCATGATTCAGTGATCCAAATGTAGCAAATTAACCAGGAAAAAATGATGTTATTTTAAAATGGCTTAAGGCAATATGGAAGGGAAAAAACTCCCAAAACCACAAAAAAAGCACCCCAAACCCCCAAGCTAAAAACTGAAAGAACTGTTAAAAGAATAAAAGACTTTGTGATAATTGTAATACTTGCCTCTATAGTGCTATATGATGAATGAATGCTGGGAACAGAGGTACTTATTACAGAGAATTTTGCAAATAGACACCATTTGCAGCCTAGTGTTTCTCATTCTAGAAGAGAGAACATTGGAAAGAAATCTTTATTTTATAGCTGTGGCAAAGAGGATGACAAGTTTCCTTTGACAAAAATATACGAACAGAACGTACTACTTAGGCTGGAGTCCCTATTCCCTTAGTTCTTCTCCAAGGCTAACAAGTTCTTGGTGTACAAGTGTAGTTTATGAAGCTTAACAAAGCACATCATCAGAAGAATTGAGTCCCATTGAATTCTCCAACTTGGAATTCATTTGATCTATATGTGAGTGAGTTGCTTAGGCTTTCTCCTGGCTAGTGATGAGTATTATTTTCTGGAGCACAAATGTTCTTGTCCTGAAAGTGACCTGTGTAACAGGCCAGCTAAACCTCTTGCAAAATGAACAAACCAGCTTCAGCCTCTCAGGAGGCTACACAGGAACAGTATTACCAGGGAATCTGCTGCTCTGTAGGGGTATGAAATCCAAACTAACATGCAGGCCCAGATGTATATGGGAAATAATTTCTTTATGTGTGGTAAGCAGACAGTATTATTTAACTAAATGAGTCAAGCAATATGATATGAAAATAAACATTTTCGTAGTATTTACATCTAATCTAGCTTAAATAGCATTCCTTTCTTTAATATTTTTGTAAGAATGTTTCTTTACTCTCTCTTCATAGCATTGTTGCAAAAGAAAGAGCAATTGAACGGGTTTTGTTTCATCTGGAAGGACTGGAAGAAAAGATCAAAGAAAATCTTAAAAATGTAAGTGACTGCAACAAGTTTTATTTGTGGTGTTCTTACAGATTCAGTTTTGTTCTTTCCATTCTAATACTACATACATTAAAATTAGCTACTGCAGTGAATTTGTTACAGTCAATGAAACTACAGTTAGTGAGTCACTTTATGTGCTGAAAGTTAGTGTTATTTGAATTAAATGTGATATGTAGCATAAATGTCCTAAATATAACATGCTAAAGAGAAGCTGCAGGAGTAGAACATTACAGAATAGGACAGAGCAGTAAGGTAAAGTGAGTTCAGTGCAGGTGCTTTCCAATGCACAAGAGATCCTTATAACCGTCTATGTATTTCATGGAATCACAGAATCATTGAGGATAAGAAAGACTTCTCAGATCGAGTCCAATTGTTGAACTCAGCACCACTGTGTTCATCACTAAACCAGGTCCACAAGTGCCACATTCACATGTCTTTTGAATGCTTCTAGGGATAGTGATTCCACCACTTTCCTGGGCAACCTCTTCCAATGCCTCACTTTCTTTCAGTGAAAAAATTTTCCCTAATATCCTGTCTAAACCTGGCACAATTTCCTTTTCCTCTTGCCCTGTTACTTGTTACCCGGGGCGAGAGACCAACCTCCACCTGGCCACAAAGTCGTTCCAGGTGGTTGTAGAGAGAGATAAGGTGTCACCTGAGCCTCCTTTTCCCCAGACTAAACATCCTCAGCTACTCCATATCAGACTTGTGCTCTGGTCCTTTTATCAACTTTGTTGCCTTTCTTTGGCATCTTTCTCTGCAGCAAGTGCAGGACAGCAAGCTCCCTTTCAGTAGGTACTTTTCCTGCAGTACATTCAAATATATCTTTTAACCAGTCCTACAAATATTCTTCAATATTTCAATGCATGAAGAATGAATGGTATAAATTTCAATTTTGTCAGTAGTATTAGCAAATCTAACCAAGCACTGAGAATTGCTGACCTTCTTCAAATCACTTTTGAACTAATGGAATTGCACAAGTTTCTGTCAGAATCTAGTTATTGCTGCAAACTCAGTTACAATAAAAATTGAATAAAGGAAGACTACCATGCTATTTACTAGCTGTGATTTCTAGCACTGATTGATGAAGACACACTTTATCATGGATTAAGAATTGCTTTGGGTAATTTTTAGGACAAGGCTGTGTAACTACTGATCTCACCTGAGTGACACTTTAAAGAATAGTGTGTATGAGCTGTATATAAAGAGCCATAATATGGCATCTAATAACTGTGAGCAGTGAACTTTGAAAATAGATATTAGAGAGTCACCTATTGAAATTATATGTAAGTGCTCAAAAAGCCTTATTCTGGATCATGTTGCAGCCTGCACTTCATAGCAGTGGAATATTGAAACAATGTGCCTCTCTCCTTTCCATGCTGATGCTTGCCCTGCTTTATATAAGTGTCCATCTGTTTAGCTTTCTGTGGTACTTCTTTCAGTCTTGAAGCCTGGATGGTGTTTCATCTCTGGCTTGACTATCACTGGAAGTGGCAATTGCTGTTCCTTCTGCAGGCATCTGAAGGGTTTTATGATTATTGTTGGATCTTATGCCTCTTATGGTTATACTGCTGGATCAGAGGGCAGTTTGACTGCCTTATTCAGGGACACAGAGCAGCAGCATAAAGGAGACCCCTCAGTGGGTCTCCCCAGTTTGTTTGAGCATGTTACTGACAACAGTGCCCATGAAGGACTCACACTGACAGTTTATGCAATAATAATTATGCAATAATTTTAATATAAAAATATTAACTTTTATTAACATAAAAGTTGGGACAGATTAAGATTTGAGGATTTTCAGTGATAGTATCTCCCTGCAAAAACATATTGCATATATGCAAAAATATTCAAAGCAGCACACAGACAAGCTCTAATCCCCAGTGAAAGTATTAAGTGCCCACAGTGTGGTTCTAACCCAATAGATGTCCATATGGGGGAGAAGACAGATTCAGACACATGACTGATCCCAACAGTTATGATGGACTTCCCAAACTTCTCCCCATTCCTACTTACTTTTATACTATTTCTTTATGTTTGGGTGGAGCTTGAGTGACTCTAGTCATTCATCTTCTTCTCTCTCCCCTGGCTGACAGGTGCTGTGAGGTTCGTCAGCTACGGAGTGCCATTTAGTTCCCCACCCTGCAAGGATTTCTATGCAGCCTGGCCATAGTGTCTCCACTCTGTTCCACCTTCTGTTCCATCCCCCTTTGCAGGGGTGGTTGCAGATTGTAGGGAATCATCATGTAATAGGTTTTGAGCATGCCAGGTGCATTGCATTCAATGAGTAGCAGCTGTATTTTACCCTTTAATTTCTGTACCACTACAACTTCGTTAGGATGTGAATACAACTTCTCAGTTTTCTCTAATTTTACCCCAGCTATCTTTCTACAGTTATTCCCCCAATTCACTTCTAGTTCATGGTCTTTCAAGGATTCCATATTTTAGATTGAGCAGGGCACTTTAAGGTGTGGGTGAAGTGCTATTGTTTTAATTTAATCATGTTTTGACAGTTCTTTGAGCTCCATTCTTTTTTTCCTGCTGGATGTTTCTAAGCTGTTTAGAATTAATCCTAGAAGTGAGGAATGCTTGAGACTCTTTCTACTGCCTAGTAACTGTTACTTACTTACTCTTTGTTTGCTCCTGTATGGTATCCTCTGGGAGCAAATATACACGATCAGTAATTTCAAACAGTCTGAGTGTCACTAGAGAGAGTCATGGCCAAGGGTTATGATCACAGTTGTGGAATCAGGAGGCATAATTAATTTCAGCTCTGACAAGACTCTTTTCTTTGGCTATATGCAAGTGCACCTGATTGTCTTACAATTTTTCTATGTGAAGATGGTATGTTCTCATGAAGAATGTTAACATGAAGCAAATAGCTCCTACATATAAATATTGTTATTAAATTATCCACAAGCACCTTTCTTTCCAGGCAATGGAGGATTATTGGTGTGCTGTACCAAGTACAGCTGTCATTAGTCTCTCTTTTCCTTCCAGTGGTCTTGAAGTTACTGAGGAAATGTCTGAGCCTTGTAAATTCTCCCTTCTGTTCTAACCTTTCAGAATACGAAGAACAGGTGTTTAGCTGCGTGTTCTAGCATTTCATCTGGCACTAGGCCAGATTTTACTTTTTTAACTTAAATTTGTCACTTTGAAAGCATTTTAATACCAACGTGTTTTCTGTTCTTTCTTAGAATGTTGCTCTGAAGGAAGAGCAGAAAGTGCTTATCTGGCGCTTAGTAAGGCAAATAGAAGAAAAGGAGAAAAAACGAGATGAGAAGGAGGTTGTAACCAGGGATGATGTGGAAAGGTCACTGAAAGAAGTTTTTCAGTTTGTGAAGGACAAAGAGCAACTCCTTCAAAGTATGTTGTTGGTTGGGGAAGTGTGGGTTACAGTTTACACACTTGGTATTGAGTACATGTTGTTGTTGTTTTGCAATTTAAGTAGAGATTCTTTGTTGCATAAGTATAAAACTTTTCCTCTCCCAAAACTGGACTCTCTCAATTTAGTGTGAGATTGTGGAGGGCTTATAAATCAATCTGTCCCTGCCAAGTGATGTATAGTATTGTGCAAGCACAGAGGCTTCCTCCTTTTTGAAACTCATGGAAGTCCAAGGCACTGGCTCTACTGAAGACTAAAAATAAAATTATTGATGCAGGAAAAAAGACCAGTTTTGAGTGTTGAAAATTCTATCTGCCATCCCTCCGATTCTTTGTGGGAGACATGTGACCTTGGTTACAACATTTGGTGAGAAGAATTATCTTCTCTTTGAAAGAATAAGATCAGCCTGTTTTCAACAATGATGGTTGCCCATGAAACTATGTCTGGCCATCAGGTTGTAATGTATTGTAGTGTGGAAGAATCCCCCTTCCTTTTCCATTCCCTGTGAAAGCACCTTTCTTAAAGAAGTTGACATTGTAAGAATTATCAGTTCAAGCAATCGGTAATGAACTTTTCTTTTGACATTCTTATTTTAATAGATCTACGCTCCCAAATTGAAGAAACTAAGAAAAAAATTTCAGAAAAGCAAAGTGAGAGAGATTATTGGTTGGAGTACAAAAATGTTGGAAGTAAAATACATGCTGAGAGGATTAGCAGTCTGGAAAAAGACATTGTGGAAGTCAAATATGAACTTGAAAGAACTGAAGGTCAGTTTACAGCTGGTGTAATGTAAGTCTTACAGGGTCTTTGCATATTGCTTGCAGGAATTAAATGATAAAATTAATTTTAGGTCAAGTTCTAGTAACTTGTAGCAGCTTTTCTAGTAACTTGCATGAACTTTTCCCATTGCACCTAAGATGGGCTGCATAATTCTGAAAAATATGAGGACTCTCTTTCTTTCTCTCTCTCTCATAAAAGTTCCTTTATTAAAGAAATTTATAAAGTTTACAGAAATTATGACAGAGAAACTGAAACCTTTGATGGTTTTCTTATAAAATACAGGCAACCCATTTAAAAAAATGTTACCCAGAAGGATAGCAGTTTTTTGTAAAAATAAGTCTACGCATATTTAGATCACCTACACAGAGAGCTCCCTTAGCAGTCATACTTGAAAATGTTGACTCTGCAGCTCTTATTTCTCATCATCTACAAGCACTTCACATATTGAAAGCTCCTTTGACAGGAAAGTAGTATGAGCTCATTCTTGGAGCAGTCTTTTCCATGGAGCACACTGGTTTGCATGCAGGACTAGAGGGAGCTCTTTAGCCAGTGGTCTGGACCTTTCCTCCTAGTTACGCAGTGTGAGGCCCTGCAAAATCGCCAATACAGACACATACTGGGAACTGTTTCAGCACTGTCACAGCAGTGGAATTAATTTGAGAGCTTATATGTTGTGGTGCTGAGTGTTTTACAAAGACTTCTTTCTTACTGCATTATTTTAAAATAATTTAAATATTTTGCTGTTACATAATCCATGCTTCCAACAGGAGAAGGATGTCCTGGTTTTCTTTCTTTATGTCCCTTTCAGTATGCATGACCACAGCCAAGCAGCTGGTAGTAACAGGCAGTGACACTGCTCTAAGGGTCTCTATATTCTGTGCCAGCCATTACCAGTCATCAGCTACTGTGAATAAGAGCCAGCCAGCTATATTTTTGTCTATCAAAGCATATTTGACCACAATTAAGATCTGCTCTGTGATTTCTACATTTCCAGATAGCTAGTCAGATATCTATCCACATCTGTATTCAAGAGAGGTTGTTTTTTTTTTTTCATTATGCATTTTCTGTGTTCTTAATTGTTTTAAAACTTTGCTATATAGCTGCTGAAATACAAAATGAAAAAGAGAATGGGCTTTCGTATAGAATGCTAGTAGGGACAGGCAGTCTGACCTCCTGCATGTCACAGGGTAGAGAATATTGTGGTTTAACAAAAATTAATGGTCCAACTGAAGTGTATTTATTGAAAGTTATGTTATAGTGGTACATTTGTAGGTGCCCTACATAGCATACTGGAAAATGATGCTGCCAGTACTGGATGTTTACCATTCTATTTTGCTTAACCCCCTAAAACTGAACCAAGAAAGTGTCTGGGGAGTATAGCCTTCCAACAAAAATCTAACAAGCTTTCAGAGCAAGACAGCAACAAATTTGGCTTGTTCAGACCTTGAATGTGTAACAGGCTTAGAGAACAAGCATAGGTGAACAGGTTTCTCTGTGTGTTCCACTGAAGGGCTTGAAACTGGCACAGTTCAGGTTGTCTGGTGGTGACATTTTAAAAAGCTGGAGAAGAGAGGAAGCAAAAGAGAACCACACATTCAGGTGATGTGTGGGGAAAACAGTATTGCAGTGAAAGGATTAGAGAGGATAGCCTCTTTAGGAACTGTTCAGACATACAATTTCTCCTTTTTCATTCTCTAAGTACAGCATGGGTTATTTAGCTGAAATAATGAAAGAGTGAATTCATTATAGTATAGAAGTACTTCCTTTCCACTCTGCCACGTCTAGATGGTGGAGTCCAGCTTCCACATTGTTAAATTAATAATTAATGCACAACTAATACACCTTTCATATCTGACTGCCTTTGACTCCACAGTGCATCCTTGAGCAAATATTCATTTACATCCAGATCAGAAATAGGCTGTCTGCAACACAAGTACAGTGAAAGACTGAATTTCAACCCTTTGGAACAAGTATGCAGTGCCTTTCTTCAAAGAAAATTACTACAATCTCATTAATTCCTTCAAAGAAGAAATGTCAAGCAGAAGTGGGCTATTTAGATGAGCAAAAAAAAAGAACTAAAGGGAAGGATGAAATAATTAAATAGCAAGTGACTAGAACGTGAAGTCAAACCTATTCAGTTCAATCTTAGGCATACCTTCTAAATAATGACTGCAAGTAATGATAGAAGCAAATAATTGTGGCAATTGCCACATTCACCATTTTGTCCTATTGTCTAATTAGAGCCTTAGGTAAGTCAGAAAATTTACTAGGCACATTATAATAACGAACTTAAAAAATGTTGCGTAGATAAGGTGATCCGATACGCTTCTATATCAAAAAAATAAATGTTCTAAGCAAACCTCTTGCTTGGCTCCAGGAGCTCTGCAATTGATAGAGACAAAATTCCATGTTAAGATGCCAATATTTTCACAGAGAATTGCTTAGCTCACTGCTCAGTTAGTAGTGAATTGCTCAGCTGTTGCAGTTGTCAACAAAAATGTGTAAGAAACTTCAGATTTCTAGTTTTGTAGTTAACACCACTGTTCTTTGGGTTTAGGACAATTTCTGTGGAGAAGGATATTTGAATCCTTTTCTGAGGAGCATCTATGCAGGTGACTTGCTGATAAGTTCCAGTTTAGTAATGACATGCCAGTTATCTATCTGTTATCAGGAAAAATTGATGTCAAATAATGATTTCTGATTTCTCTTTTTTTTTTTTTTGTTTTGTTTTGAAGAATATTATAGAGAAGCTTTGAAGGTTGTGAGAGAAGAAAATCAGAAACTGTTTGACAGGCACATGAAATTACTCAGTGAAGAAGCTCTTAAGGTATTTTTACTTTTTTTAAAAACTGCAAACTGCATTATACTTGGGATACACGTACTTTGCATTATTAATTCTTTTAACTCATATTAACACTTCAAACTTTTCTAATAAATTGAGAGTAAAATCTTTTGTAAATCTTGGTACACATGGATCTGGTTATTGCTATACATACATGTACCTATTTTTTTTTTCTTTCCATGAGAATAACAATGGGTAGATGTGAGGGCGTTTTACAAACAAGGCATGGGAAACTGGGCACCATGCACTGACAAGGCTTGTTTGAGAACATGTTGCTTTTGCCATAGCCTTGATTTTGACATTTACACAGACTTCAAAAAGCAGTAACATACACAGAGACTGCATGAAAATATACATCGATTTGAAGAAAAATGGTTTCACTGTACATGTAAAGTATAACATTTTAAAATGCCACAATAGTGCAATCTCAGGAAAATGTAGGTATATTGATTCACTATTTTTTGTCATGTCTGCCAGGTCTGATTTGAAAACATGGTTTACAAATAGCTCTAGCAACAACTTCTTACTTTCACAAAATGCAAAGCATACTTCAGTACAAACCACTGGGCCCATTAGTCCTGACTTCAGTGCTGGAATTTCCAGTCATGTGAGAACATAATCCAGAGGACTGTGTTTATGGTGATCTACAGGGGCATCTTCCCTCCCAGTTCTTACTTTACTGACATCAATAATTAAATTGTAGCCTTGGCTCATTAGCACAGACCTCTACATGCTTAGGTCACTTGTAGATCAGTACTGCCTCATTTGAGATTTTACTTGGGGTTCTTAATGTCTGAAGGTTTGATTTTCTGAAAGCGGTAATATTTGATATGGGAACATAGAAGAATTTGTTAGACAAAAAGGGAAATGTCCTATTTTAATATGGGAAATCAAAAAATATTGGTAAATTGCTTGACATATAATCTGCTCTAGGCAGGATGATAGAGGAGAAACATCTGGCCTTGTGAACTAAATCCCCTTGTAATCCCTTAGGGTATGCTACAGTCTGTTGTGCGGATATTTCTTAACTATTTCTTCCTAAAGAGCAGAAGGTTCATTATAGTATTCAGGACTGTCAAAGTTTTGCTCTCAGGTGAGATGATCTTAAATTGTGTTTTCTCAGAATGCTGTGAGATACTTAGACAAAAACTGTCGGAGAGAGATTGAAGAGAATGAGTGGCTAAAAGAAGAGGTAAGAAAATCACTTGCCTGCAGTTTATCACAGCAGTTTATGTTTGAAATATTGTGGCCTACGGTCAAAACTGTTTCCAGTCATGGGCCTCAGGAGACTTCTGTTGGCAAAGGAGAGCAATTTTCCAGTAATTAATCTGTAATCCTGAGCAGCAAACAGTGCAATGTGGTGAATAAAGGTAAGAGGTGAACATTTACTTTCACAAATGGAGGACCCCCTTTTCTGCCCAAGCTGTTACATGAAGGACTACAATGTTCCATACAATTAAAGATTTTTATCTGTGAAGATTGGGATGCTATATATTATAAAGGATCAACCAGGTAAGTAGCTGAAGAGGGGAGGTTTGAATTGCATTGAAGTTCCTAGTACTGCTGTACTGAAGGAAAATGGATATGGATGTTGGAAACATGTTCTGAGAAATGGCTTGAGATGGCATTAAATGGAAGGTCATAAAAAAACCATGGGGACTCTACACTGAAGACAGGAAAATCAAAATCATATATAGTCGTAATTATTGCTTGATAGCTTTTCTACTGTCCTTTAATGGCAATTTAGAGCTATATATTAGATAGCTGTAATTTTCTTGACAAGAAAAATTTTTTGTGAGCCAGATTTAAGAAACTAATTTTTTCCATGGTGAAAGTTTGATTTTATTTATTCCAGTCAATATAGGTTCTTTATTTCAATCAAATCTGAGATTGGTGGGTGAAATGTCTTTCCTCACTTTTACAGCCTCACAGATGAGAACTGAACGAAACTTTTTGGGAAGTTAATAAATGTGCTTTTCCATGGCACATCAATGAACCTTGTAGAGGTTTCTTCATTTTAGTTACTAATCTAAGTACTTGCCAGTATGCAGGAACACAGCTTTCCTTCTTCGCCTTAATGTGCTCTGAGCATGCATCTTTAACTTTCCAAGGAGGGTGTCCAAGCCACAGCTTCTGAAGCAGTGAGGGTAGGGAAGAGAAATGGGAAAGAATTAATGGTTTATTCTGTATAAACAAACAGGAGCTCAAATCTACACATCCCATCAGTGAATGAGTATGAAATCTCTTCCCTTCTCCCTGTCTCACTGAACACTTATAGTTTTTACACACATTAGCAGTGCCAACGAGAGAGCACTTTGGAGTACTCTTATGTCCTGACAGGCCCTCACCTCAGAGCTGAGGGATTTGGATTTCTTTCCTCTCAACTAGAAGTTTCCTATGTTATGAATTTCTTTCCTATGTTGCTACTTTCCTATGTTATGAATTACTGCTTTGAATTTTGGGGGAAAACGAAACTATTATCACTAACTTCTCCAGTCCTCTGAGTTCACCCATTCATTTTCTCAGCTTTTCTTACATGGATGAAATATTTTCTCTCAGACTGATGTTTATATGTAGCTGACAGGCTGTTTCAGTATTTCCTTTGGGGAAGATAAACCAAAAATTTCAGTTTTGTCTCTATTATTTTTCTTTTCTTTTTTAATTTTTTTTTTTTTTTAAAGTTTGGCCACTGGACTGAAAAATTACTTACAAAAATAGCCCTAGATTAGTTACCTCCAAATTTAAACAGATTTGGAAACTTCAGTCACATTTTTCCATGGTTACTGTGTCACACCAAGATGGTGCAAAGCTGCATCACCTCACTGTGCCAAGCCACATCCTGTTACTGGTTAATTTCCAGTCATTTTCACCTTTTGAATCCTTGGAATAAGTTGAAACTAGTTTTGACTGCAAATTTGGATGATTATAGCTGGGTTAATTTGGTTTTGATGAGAGTGGATCCTTTCAGATCACTGGGTACTTCTCTTAAACATGTGGATATGGCTAAGTTTTATGGGTAGTTTTCTTTCCCATAGTACATTCCCCTTCCCAGTGAAAAGGGTAAGAACTTGCTTGTATTTCAGTGAAAGTGTGAGGAATTATGGGAATTGAATAACCGGTGTCCTTTGGTCAGTATAACTCCATGGTGATAAAGGGCAATTACCAGTCTGAAACCAAGTGGTACCTGGGCTTAGCCAATGTCACAGAACCATAGAATATCCTGAACTGGAAGGGGCCAAGGATCATTGAGTCCAACTCCTTGTCCTGCAAAGCCCCAACACATGCCTGAGAGCATTGTCCAAATGCTCCTTGAGCTCTGTCAGCTTTGGGGCTGTGACCGTTTCCCTGGGGAGCCTGTTCCAGAGCCCCACCACCCTGCAGGGGAAGCAATGTGGTAACTTGGACTGAAAACTTCACTAATTCTGGGTAAGAAGGTTTTGTGTATAAGAAAGACTTAGAAAAAACAACACTTGCTGAGCAAGACCCCAACTTTACCTCTCCAAAGAAACTTTTCCTCTCTCAAAGCTCTGATGTGAAAGCAAAAAAGAAAAATCCAGAGCTCCTGTTTAGCAGACCTGTTTGACCACCCAAGAAGGTTTTGCTGACAGGATTGCATAGCCCAAATGTGTGGCTGTGATTGACGCACGTGAGCTATGACAGTAAAAGGGTTCTAATAAAGGTGTGAAACCAGAGAGTCCTTCCCTTTGTCTGAAATTGTATCAATATATTTCCCCACCAAATGTGCAAACTTGCTGATACAGCAGCATTTTTTCTAGGTATGTGCTGGTAAAGTAGTTGCTATCAAAGCTTTCCAAAATTATAAGATTCTAAATTCTAAATAATTCTAAATAATTCTATTTTATTGTTTTTTTTAATTGTCAAAAGGTTAAAATCTACCAAAAGGAAGAAAGTGATTTGAAAGCTTCTGTCCAGCTCCTGGAAGAAGAAAATACCACTTTATTGGCAAAACTGATTGATATCAAACTGCAGCATCTAAGAGTATCAGGGTAAAATAATGCTTTTATGGACTCAAAAATGATTAATTTTTTTTTAAAGATAATGCTTCTGTCTGCCTCTAGAGCTATTTGAGCTCTCCTAGATCAAAGCCAAGGTAGTTTCCTAGTTGAGGGAGGACAGGATTTGACTGAGTATAGGTGGGAGTAGTATCTCTGAAGGATGACAGTAACATTGTGACTTCCCAAGTACTAAATTTCAGGGAAGAAACTGGGTCCTTAATTAATCTACTAAGACCTAGCACCATTTGCTTTATATCACTGTGGCTTGGAAATAATTTCTTTGTGTTGCAATTAGATGGTCTCAGCCCCACCTTTTTAGACTAAGTGCTGAATAATAGATTTTTACTGTTCACAAAACATTTAAGAATGTGGATGTGAAGATTAATTTGCAAATATAGGGGACTTGCAGTCTTGAGTGAAACAAGTGACCTGACACTGAGAAAGACAGAGACCATGGGAAATGTCTGTCTGCAGAGGTGTCTGTAGTATTAGCTTCTTTTGTATTGAAATGATTTAACTTTGTCCCTAGAGAAAGATTAATTTAGCTACAAAATGTCAATACTAATGGTATCAAAAGCACAATGCAACAATGTGAGAGATCCATCTTCAGTTTCCAGTCCCAGCTCAGCGATTTTAGCCATATTGCACAAAAAGTTCCAACTCTTAAGAAGTGACCATTTTTCTCTCCTTTCCAAACTTTGGATTACTTTGAAGTGAGAGCTGCCAGCTGTGGTCTGAATCTTGGACTGACTGGAGACTATAACATTTGTTTTCTTTTAGTCTCATGGACATAGTTGAACTAAGGCACTAAGAATAAAAAGGAGCAGTTTATTAGCCACTAAGCTACCTGGCTGCCTCCATTGCATTTTTGAACCATTGCACTATTCAGCCTTTGTGGTTAAGCAGCAGTGGCTCTCGGAAAGGGTGGCCTCCCCCTCACTCCAAATCGTTGCACAGGACAGTCTATAGAGAAAATTTAGGCCCCTGTTATGGATTTCACTTTATATTTTTTATTCCATAGGCATTTGTTTCTTACAAAGGGAGCTGGTTTGCAAGAACTTTCTAAGGATGCAATGGAAAGGGAAAACAGAGAATATGCAGGTAATGCAAATGCCAGCAGCTTATAAGAATTGATAAGTTACTGAACATTTATAGACTTTTCATTTCTGAAACTTTTTAATCAAGGTACCTGTTTGATATGGTGAACACCTTATTTCCTTCTTGACTGCAGCCACCACAGCAATGATAGATGGTAATTTGCATAAGGAGAGAAAATCACAATCTGTAATAGAGTTTTTAAATTAAAATTTGTTTTAGATTGTGGAATATAATTACTCATCTAGAGCTACCCTGGAATGCAGTTTACAGGATTGCCCATCTTTTATGAAGATATGAATCATATCTTAATCAGTTCTTTATTGATCCATATCATAACTTCATCATAGCTTGTCCCTGAGAGGACAGTCTTAAACTCCGTGTTGGCTTTCACTTTGTACATGCACTTTGCAGTCATTCAGCCAATACACCAGAGTTAAATTAGAACTAAATCCCTAGCAAGAGCAGATGAAGCTACATGGAGCTCAGCCTGAATTGAAAATCTTGGTAAGCCGTACTGAATTTTGGGCTGAATCTCCATCCTTTCTGGGAGGTGTGCCCAGGGAAATGATATACCATTAGGCAAGAAGGAGCTGAGTCTGTACTTACCTGTTTAGGACAGTCTCTGTGGATTCCTAAGTATCACGAGTTTTTTAATACAAAATTAAAGAGATATGTTAGAAAAATGGAAGTCATACAGTTATGGAGACATGAAAAAGTTTTGAAATTCTGATCAGTCCCAGCCATAGGTGGGCCTTTTGAAACCATCAGGCACCAGCAAACATGTTGACAAAGACTTCTCTATTAAATATATGTTTACTTTGAAAACCTTTGCTAGACTTTTGCAATAGTTACCTGGAGGAGAAGGCTTTGTTCCAATAAGCTGGGTCAATGTCCCAGGCAAACCTGTAACTTGGCAGTCCATGTCCAGAATCCTCTATCAACCTGAGAATTAGTCAACTACAGATGTGATCTCTTCAGGGGAGTTATAAGTAGACTAAGACTGTTTCAGGAACTTTATTTATGTACCTATAGATACACAAACATGGGTACAGAGGAACTTTATACTTGTTTTTGCTGCCTTTCTTATTATTTTTAACTGTTCAGGGCTCTACAGGATTTAAGTTGAACTGACAAAAGCTCTTTTTTCTCCACACCCCCTCTCACAGATCCATTAGTTCTAACTTCCAATCAATTTCAGTTCCTGGGTCCTGATCAGAAATTGTGAACAAAAAACACATCAAAAACCCCAACATAAATGAACATTTGGCTTGAATTGCCAATTAAAAACACTACCAAGCTGTTCTTTGCATCACATGGGCTCAGCCATATTAAAGATTGCAGGCAATGCTCATATCAAGTACTGATTCTGACTTCCATAAGGCCTAACAATTACATAGACTTCATTTTTCTTGGCTTTAAAAAGCAAAGACAGATGGAAAGAGCCTCAGAAGTGCCTTTCGAAAGATTCAGTCTAAAACAGATTATGAGAAGTCTCAAGAGAGTGATGAAAAGCTGCAGAAAAAATTTTTCACTCCAGCCCTGGACAGCTTGTTGTATGAAGATGAAGAAGAGTTCCAGGTATGAGTTAGAATTCAGGTCTTTCACTGACAAAAACATCTTTTAGTGTGGAGCATGAGCTACTGTCAGGACCATTCTGTTTCCAATGGTGTTACGGCATCCAGTGTCCTTTACCTGGTGGGTAATTCAGATGTTGACTGCAGTCCTCTGGTGCTGTTTGGGACAGTTAGGTCACTCCATGTCCTTCAAATGTTGGGCCAAAAGAGCACAGGTTGTGTGTCCTACGGACCAGCCTCACATGCATGTTTTGGATGTCTTCGGGCATCTCTGATGTTTTGGCAATTGAGTGGTGTCCTAGGAATCATCCCGTGGAGTGTCAGGATGAAATTCCCCTGGAAAGAATTCTGAATGTCACCCAATGAGAGATTACTTCACTTGGATGGTAATGGACTGGTCCTTTAGAATCTGAGTTACATAGTAACATTAAAGGACCAATATGCCTTCAACAAAAAGCCAGGATGAAGGTGTTTGTGGGTGCAAACTATGGGGTTGAGAAAACAGTGCACATTGGCCTTTCCTGTAGCTGATTGACTCTAACCCAGCAGAAAAGCTTTCCTTTTCTTCCTCCCCCTGAATTCGTTTCTGTTGTGTTGGTCAACTGAGGTTTGGAGAAGACCAGAGCCAGTGCAGATGTGGCAGAAGCACATGGCTGGGCTTGGACCTCTCTCTTTTAGGCAGGAGCGAGCTATTGGATTAGTTTAATTCTTCTCATAGAACTGAGTTTGAGATCAGAATTTGGTTTATAGAGAAGGTGATATTGATCAAAACACACAGGAAAAGGAGAGGGCAGCAGAGCTGCAGCCTCCTAAAATGAGTTGGCTTGCAAAAGAAGCCCATTATTACTGACACTATCAAACAAAACCCCAGTGCAGCATCTCTACAGCTGCTTTAAAAAGAAAAGTCGCTGGGTTGTTTGTTGGTTTTTTTTTGAAGAATGGTTGCTTTCCTAGGAAATTGCAAAGGAAACATGTTTTTTCTTCTTAAGGCATACTCAAAACTGGGACCTCTGAAGAGAAAGCTGTATGTGGTTGGAAAAGCTGTGCCTACTTGTAAGGAACCAGAAGAAATGTCAAGGAGGAGCCACAGAGAAGAGGACACTGTTGGTAAATCAGATGGACATATTACAGCTAAGATGATCAAGGCCTTATTTAAGGAAAATGTTGATGAAAACTAGACAAGCTGTGCTCTTGACAAAGAAATGTAACATTCTCAATTCATTAAATATTTGCTCTCTTCTGTGCAGCATGGGGCTTTGAGGAAACTATTTTAGAATGCCTGAATCATGGTTTTAAGTTTCATGAGAGGTATGCCTGTGTGCAGAGGCTAATTGAAAGGTTCCTTTCCTTACCGCTGCAAGACATCTTGTGCACTTTTTGGGGTATTCAGTCCACGTAGCAGCATATCTATCTAAAAGGTCAGAACTAATGTTTAATTTGTGCTGTCCCCACTTGCAGATATGGAATTCCCTCTTGATCAGACAGTGGATGGGTAAATGCAGGCTGCCATAAAACACAGAACTGTTACAAAATACTTAGTGCTCTGCTAAAGCAGAATTAATTTATGCAAGCATAATTCAACTATTGCTATAATATGCTTTTTTATCTGTCTCCACAAGACCTCTACTTAAATACATTGAAATAAACAAAAATTAATTTAAAAACAATTTAAAACCAGCATAAAAATCTCTAAGGTCTTAAATATTTTGTTTGTTTAGAATTGGCCAAATATACTGTGTAAGCCCATATCCTTGGTTTGTGGCTGGTCTCTTTGAAGTGCATTGATGAAGTGGGAGGTTCCCTCTGGACACCCTTTCAGCAGGACACAACGGGTCCTTCCCACATGTAGGCTCTGACTTGTGCATTTCCTCATTAGAAACTTGTGACAGCATTGAATAATCTGATTTAAACCCTTGACAGGATAATCAGCTCTTTGGAATAAAGTTTTTTAAAAACCTTACGTTTCAAACAACCTGTATCTCTGTGCAGTATCTCAGTGTATCTGTACTTCAGTGCAAGCGCTTTTCCAAGCACACTCAGCTGTTCCTGCCCAGCAGGTGTCTGTCTCCTTGGGCTGCAGGTGAGTCTCACTGGTCTCTGGGCTCCACTGACCAAGCTCCTCTGCTGCGATCACAAGCAGACAGGTTAAGGTGTCAGACTCCACCTCTCTCTGCCATGTGGTGAACAGTGAAGTGAGTTTGAACGTGCTCCTGTAACCCAGGGAGTTACTGTGAAGGCTGAGGTGATTCCTATCCCTTGAGTGTCCAGGGAATGGGGATCTGCACTTAGGCAGCTCCTGCTGTGTCTGCAGCCCAACACAAGCCTCCCCTCGGCTCCCCTGCCTTGCTTTGAGTGCAGTGCAAGCCCTATGAAATGGCTGACTTGAAAGAGAGATTAGTTCTGCTCAGTGATTAGTTTAGCTTCTCCTTTAGATGCAGAATTGGAATGTGGCTAATGCTGTGAATGGCCTTTCTGTTGAAGAAAGGCCTCTCCTTCCCACCACTCCCCAGAAGGGATTTACATTTTCTAGTGGTATAAATGTGGGGCTCATCTCTAGGCTCCTCTTGGCTTATGCCCATAATGCATAACTATGTGACGGACATATGGCAGGACAACATCAACCCGCACCTTGGAAAAAAGAACCCTTGCCTCCGCCAGTCAGTTTAGCCTTTTCCTATAACAGCCTGTGTGGGGGAGAAGGAGTTAAAAAGAAATCCCAAACATGCTAATTAGGGTACAAGCCACAGGCAGCCTGCATAAGCCAGAAGCAACACCCTGCAGCAAAACATATTTAGTGAAGTGTCTCAAATCCCCTTGATTTCTACAGGATTAGCATTAAGGCCACTTCGAGGCTTACATACGGAGAAAGCTGGGTCTTCAGCCCAAGGCATCTGGATTTGATAAATTCGTTACTGGAAAAACCTCTCAGAAATGAGCAGTGTATTGTAAAACAGGGGGCTGATCAGTCACTTTCTGGCAGCACAGCCAGTGCTTCCAAGCCCTACTTGGAGTTCACTACTGCAGTTAGGACCAAACTTATGGGAGTCACCCTTGTATTCCCAGCATTATGAAATACCTTTTCTTTACTGTGTTACTGTTGTACATGACAACTCTAGGATGCAAGCAAGGGTCCGGGTGTCTCCAAAACTATAATCCAAGCTGAGCATCAGTTGAGCTGGAGTTGTGTTTAACTAGAACAGAGCTCAAAGAAACTTGCAGTTTCAACAGGAAGAAAAAAACCAAGTATTCCTTGGAATTCAAAACTAAAGAAATACAAGCAGCACTCAAGTTGCATGGAAATAAAAATTATTTTAATAGAACTAAGGTCCATGAGCTGAAGTGAGAAACATCAATCCACGGAATGTCTATAAAGCACAATGGGGAGAGGTGTGCTGAGAGCTTCTATCCATTCCAGTGATGAAAGGGGCTGCTTACCTCAGCACTCTGCTGGCTTGAACCCTCTCTGAGCAACTGGATTGTATTGCTTTATAGTCTGGCTGTGCTGGTATGATCTCCCCCAGTTTGAGCTGCAGGGAATGTGGGTGATTTCACTTTTGGTCTGGTTTTTGCGAGGTTTGCAGCCTCCTCTGCAGCAAGGTTATATAACAAGGCAATGTCTCCACAGGTTCAGACCTGCATGTTTTGGGAAATGAGGGTAAGAGACTCGTTCTGCAGCATTTGTTCTTGTTTGGCTGCTCTCTGAGAAATTATTAAACACTCTGCTTCTGTGGGCTAAAAGGAGTTTGCCAGAATAAGGTCAAGGCAGAAGCTAAGGGACTGAAAAGTTACACTGTAGTGACAAGCACAGAACAGAGAACCTATTGGTGTTAGCATCTTTAGCCACTGATGTTTTGCAGCTAGATGTTCCTCCAAAAAAAGGCTTTTCCTTGGATTTTGAGTCAACTGTGAAAGTAAGGATGCTTTTTGCAATACTACATTTCAGAGCTCGTGTTCTGCAGTCTCCCACAAACACCATATTGTTTCAGGACATGACATGGCAACAAGATGCCAACAACTGTTCTCATATGTGGACAACTGAACACTAAGCCATGCTGAAAACCGGGATTTAAAATGGTACTGGATCTTTAGTGCTCACTTTAGCTCACATAGTGATTAAAGTAAAACAAGAAGCTAAAATTGTATCAAATACTGCTTTTCTGAAAAAACCCCAGTACCTGGGCAATTGCTGTAGCTGGCACAGGGAAGTTGAGTAGTTGCTGCCAAGAACAAAACAGAGATCCATGCGATGAAAATAAACTCAAGACCCCAGTCCAGTGCTCCTTGTGTACCGCAGCTGCCGGATATCCAAACCACTGTGCTTGCATCCAACACATTCTCTGTACCCACTATCACCTCACAGAAATTTAAGCAAGTTGGCTCTTCGTTCCAAAGCTTTTGATCTTTGCTTCAGGGAATTTCATCATCAGAGAAGCAAGAAAATAATTAAATGTGTTTTACTCACTCCTAGACTGATCTGTTATCTTGGGGAGGCCATCTCCCATAGTATTACTCAACCTTCAGGTACACAAAGGTGCCGAGTAGGTGGTAGCAATGTTACACCTTCAGGGAACCTGCCCAGGGTCATCTCCTCACTCATTCTCCTGATCCAGCCAGGATGCAGCTGAACAATCAGCTAAGTCCCTCTGCTCTCCAGTTTAACCTTGGAAAACAACCAGCATCTCACAGATTTTTCTTGTTGGGCAAACTCAGTGGAAGATGTCAAGCCTGCTTCTGCTCTCTCCACTGTGGTGTGAGAGCTCCAAAGGTCAAGTTGAGAGATTGACAACAGGCCAAGGAGAAAGCTCTTATTCAGTTTACATATGCTGCCATTAGCACGGCTCTTTTGTTTGTATTCAGCACATTTTTTCACTGCCCCTCACATTATTTTCTGCTCAATCTGACTTTTTTCTGTCAATCTTCTGCTCCCATCAGCATTTACTATCATTCCCAGTGTTTTTAGCACTTAATTCTCATTTCTCTGTCACAATCTTTATCTCAATTATGTCATGGCCTTTAAGTTGCAATTCATTTATGTTGCTAAAAAATTTGTGTCAGGCTCTGGCAAATGGGCACTTTTTGTCTAATGAAACATGCAGGGTTTCACCCTGTCCCTTTTTCTTGCTGAAGGGCTGTTTGGCAGCTGGGAACAGCTGGCAGTTGGCTGAAAGGAACCTCTGATGTCACAAAGTCATGCAAAAACAGACTTAAAACATGTCCTGAGGTACCAGCTCAGTGTAGTTTGTGACTTTGAAACAAAGAAGAGAAACAGCAAAGGAATTTAGATCTGTCTTCAGATGAAGACTACATTTGTGCTGTTAGAAAACTCAGTGAGGAGCTGTTCAAGTTCTTGTTCTGTCAAGAGTAATTGTCTCAGGAGGTAAATCCAGTTTTTTTTTCATTATATAATTCCCTGATTTAAAAAAAAAATAAAAATATTGTGGTTATTCTGACACACCAGTTCCCTACAAAAAGCTTTAAGAACCACATCTCTCTAACAAAGCACTCCATCATCTGCTTGCTAAGGGCCAGCAGCTTCCCTACAGTTTGTTCCTGTAAATTAAGCAGCCTTTCAACTCAATTCTGAAGAGAACCAGGTTTTCACAACCCCCTATTATTGAAAAGTGCCAGTAATTAAAAAACAAAATGCGTCTGTGTGCTGCACTTTCTAAATTAAGCTAAAGTGAGTGTTATTTCAGTGATACTGAAAGCAAACACTTACTGGGAACAAAGCAAATGAGAAAATACTACTCAGAGAAATTCTCAAGCCAGTTTGTTTCCAAAGAGTAAACCAAAAAGTGAGGATTTTTAGCAAGGCCTTCAGCAAGAAAACCTAATTTGCACAGCAGCTGTTTCAAGGAACACAGAGCAATAACAAGTGAGCAGTAAAGGAAAACAGGAGTTCAGCATCCCTGCAGATGACATGGGTTTGGGTGTTCACAATTCTTTGGCGCTTTCATGATTTGCAGCCTTAAGTCCACAGCCACAGAAAGAGCCCAAGGGATCACAGAGATCTAGGAACACAGATGTATCCTCAGCCAAAAGCCTCAAGTTAGACTCTGCAGAGAGCACCACAGACCTAAAAAGAAAGTTGGCATCTGTTTTATCATAACCCAGCTGATCAGGCTCTGGAGGAGGACGAAGGTCTGCGCTCTTACTTCACACAAGGTCTGGGCTGTATTTCAGAACAGTCTGTACCCTGGTAGTTACAGATGTAGCTAAGAGGTCACAGATGTGCACCTTTTATCCAGCTGCCCCCCAATTCAAACAATTCACCTTTTTTATATTCTAACCCCAAGCAAACCTGAGTTGCTTTCTGCACCATCCCACATTGAAAGCCTCAGGGGTAGGAAGGTAAAATTTAGTAGATGTGTATGAAACTCCCCAGATCTGGGTGTGTATTACATACTCTGTAATAGGTTCAGCAATATAGATGCTAATTCTAAAGCAGGCACCATAGTGCCTGTGAAATAGCAGGCCACATAACTTTCTCAGTCTCACCTGAGAAAGTGGCCTGAGAAATCATGGGGAGGAATTAAAACAATCCTCAGAGATAGAAAACGGCCTTGCAGGTGCTGTTTGTCTGTTCCTTGTTTTCTTGCAAGAGAAGGCCGAGGGGTGGTGAGCCCCACTGACCAATGATGGTGATGTGTTAGTTCACTAACCAATAAAAGTTTTCTTTTCTGTACTTTTCATGTATCAGTCTATAAAAAAGAGCTGAGGTAATAAACCCGAGAGAAACTTCTCCAGTTCGGACTCCACGAGAGAGTCTGTGTTGTTCTTTTCGCCATTCCCAATAGAGCGACACAGGGATTTTTTTATTCATGCTTTGAGAAAGAAATTTTAAATCTATTGACCTGTACTGCTCAGTTTATGATATCCTGGCCTCCAGGACAAGCTTCAGG